CGATTTCCTCCTTTCGCAGTAATCCTTTAGATCCACTTGAGGGCGGTACATCTGCTGTTTTGAACACATGGAAATTTGCATGGGCTTGATTTGAGAAGTAACATTACGTCTAAGTGGTGTGATTTGCCAGTTGGCCTGAGGCTTGAGATAAGCAAATTTATGCCTGCGGCATACAGGCCTGCAATGGTGTTTTCATAAAATACTGCTTGTTCACACAAAAACAGAGTGAGTTAAAAGTTTTTTTAAAAGATGAAAAGGAATAGAAGCATATTCCTATAGAAAGAGATCATTTCATCTGCACGGATAAACATATATTTGTCAGCTGAAAATGGGCAGCGAGGTGGAGTCACTAAATAGTGTAGCTCTGACATGTAGCTTTGGAGGGTTCAGTCCCAGTAGCTGCTCCTATGCTTGCTGTGTACTTATCTGAGCACTGGATATCAGCTCTTGCAGTTATTATAATCTTGGCTGCAGTCTGAAAATCTGCTGTATGTGCTCAACAAAAGATCCGCCAGACCCTCTCCGCCTTTCAATTCATAAATGCAGACACACAATTAAGCCTCAAAACCAGTTCACCTTTATTAGAAGAAATGGAGGAATAATTAAAAAAAGGAAAACAAGACAAATTTATGTATGTAAATGTTGGGTCCTCTCAAGATAATCGAAAATGTTAGACAACGGACTGTGATTTGTCCAGCCTGCGGTCTTCCTCTGAGTAGCGTCGGTAAGTTTCTGCCAACAGCGGCTCCAGGGCCTCGGCAGAGTTGTAAGAGTGAGAACGCATAGCGCAGGCTATGACGATACCAACCACCACCACAACCAGCACTGCAGCAATAACGGCTACGCTGATGATCTCAGAGAGGGTGAAGGTACGAGCTATGAGGGAAAAGAGCGGACGGTTATGAGCAATTCCTGGATTTTGTGGATCTGCGCATGCTTACACGTTCTCTGCTTCTCACCCGGCCACTGGACCTCATATGAGTATCCCAGGTTTTCTGGGGCAGGCACAAACATCTCAGCATTGGTGACAGGCGGCCAGAAAGGAACCATGTTGAACCTGCTGTTGTGTCCAATGGGAGCGTTCTCATCGGGGTAAACAGTGTCACCTGAGAGAGTGAAGAATATGTCAATCCATCTATTCATTCTCCAAAGTGAATTTTGTTGTTTGAATATTCGCAAAGGTGTACCCGGTTGATGCCTGCGGAGCCACTCGTCAAAGACTGCATCGGTAAAGGTGTGAAGCAAGACAAAGATGGGATCATTGGGCGACAGGTGAGTCTGTCCACCCGTCCCGTTGAGGAAGAGGTGGGCCAGATTGTGAAGACTGCGGATCACTGGGTCGTACATCCCCTGGGGGGCGCTGTAGCCTTGAAATTATGGAACAAAAAATGAGAAAAAAAAAAGGAAAACGTTTAATGAAGACTCTGATTTACCAAAATTAGGAACAACAAATGTTGTGTTGGAGCTAACCATATGTGCATGTGGGTGGAGGATTGAGTGAGTGTTTTTCTGGCTTTGTGTTTCATCTATACACTCACACAGTATTCAGCAGCTTTATTTTCTGAGCTGAGCCCAAGAGAAACTGAATATTTCCTTGGATTGGGTTGATGGAAGAATGCTAAATCTCAACTACTGCTTTGGCTCTAACCTATGAGTCATGTTGAATGTGGATCACCTTCGATGGTGTTCCTGAAGCTCTCGGAGGAGGTGGAGTAGTAAGGAGGGGTATCAAAGGTGTTGATCTCCAGACAGTCCAGCACATCTTTGGGCTCCGGCAGCCTCTGCACCATGGGCCGCGCCACGTTGCCTGCTGGGTTCCTCCTGATGGGACTGCTCTCTGTGCCTTGGAGATGAAGAAAGGACTCAATAAAACTAGGTTAAGCGAAATATAATTACTTTAAAATAATAAAGATAACTTCTGATTACTGGCACACTAAGACCTAAGATCAGGCACAAGCCAGAGGTCCCTACAGATATGGCTTGATTGAAAATGTATTATTTAACCACCTTCTAACTCTGTGTGGGAGACTCTACTAGTTTGATCTGCCTTAAACATGACAGGATGGCAGTTTTCTTTTTTAATTATTCAATAAAAGTCAACAGTAGTGAGTGGGAGCTTTGTGACTGAACAGAAGTCTTTTTTTTCTTTTTTTGTCTCTCTTGCATGTATGATCTCTTTCTCTTTTTTCAGGCTTTCTCTCCTACACACAAGCACATAAACAGAAGGCTACATAACCGAGTTGTCTGTCTGTTTGAAGATTATTCCCTCAGATCAAAGGAACCAGTAGACTGTTAGATTCCTGTCTTCAACAAGCACATGCACAAATGAGGCAACCCCCTTAACCCATTTAAGGAGATGTTGCTTGTTGACGCAGGAAATACCAGGCCTGTCATGACTCTCTGGGGGGAATAACAAGATAGATCACGCACATGTTGGCCACTCACGTGTTCAACCTGTTACCAAACACTTTTTTTTTTCTTATGACCTCTTTTTATAAGTTTGTTGTTGAGGCTCCATGGGGAAAGATGATTGACATTCCCAATTACTTGCCTATTCCAGATGAAAACCAAATCCTTTATAAATTAGGTGCATTTGAACACTGAAAGAAAGGTAGTGAATTAGGCTTGTAATCTGGTGCCAGTACGGAATGAGAGCCAATCCCTGCAAATCTGATCACCTAAAGTCTAGGTTACGCAGCGTTATCTTATTACTGAATAAGAATTCCCTTATTCTAGGTTAAATCTTGTGACCAATCAGGAATTAACACTGAAAAACTAGGCTGATTGAATAAAAACAAAAAAAATCTTTCAAACCGCAGTTTTTAGAGATGCAGTGTGTAGTACTTCAGTTACACACGGCAACACAGAAGGCGATGTTTAACAACTAGAGCAGTTTCAAACAAACTGAAGTAATAGCGAGCAATATCGAATTTAGCACAACAGCTGTGAGCTATTATTTATAGCAGCCTATGTTCTACATGCTCTCTTTATGAGCTCTTTGCCCTCTTTTCTGATGCAGCTGAGACGATGCTGTATATCAGCAGCGCTCGGCTGGTATAGTGTGTGTTTCCGTGACTGTCTTTACTGTTGCAGATGGTGCCCAGAGTGTCGTAGTCATCCACACTCTCGCAGATGACCCTCCACTGTGAGAACACAGAGTTGGGGCTGATGGAGCTCATATCAAATGTGCTCCTGGCTCCCAGCAGGTCATCTGTGCAGATGTCGCATTCGCTGCCTCCAATGGCGAAGTTCCAGTAGGGCAGGGCAAAGGTGGGGTTGCCCAGCATGTCCTATGAAGATCGAACAGGGGAAGGAGGCAGGTGTTCAGAGAAGGACTGTCTGTAAACAAACTGCTTTCTTGAATTGTTTATTAGAAAAATATGCAGCTTGGTTCTTTTTCTTTTTGTCCTTTATGCGCCCTATTTTTTGTCCCCTTCCTATATATTCCTGCTTTTGTTTTGCCTTTTTTATTTCCTCCTTGCATTAACCCATTCTCCTTCAGGCTAGCTTTTCACTCAGTGTCAGATCTTTTTTCTTTCCATCACCACTCCTCCAATCTTAACCTCCTCATCCATTTCTTTATCAGCCCAGAAGCTTGCTGTCTCTCCTCTTTTCCACTACCACCCCTCTTTCTCCCTGCCTTCTCTCTACTCACCTGCATGTCTCTCTCCAGTTGCAGCAGATGAAAACGATGCCAGGTGACAAAACCTGGGCCCTCGTGGGAGAAGTCTACACCTCCAAAGCTGGTCTGGCCTGGCCCCAGGTACGTCTTACTGACAGAGTAGTAGTGACTCCAAACAAAGTAATTATAAATGGTGATGTTCTCAAACTGTGGGGTGTTGCCATCAGGCCCAAACAACTCCTGGTACCTAAAGATAAAGGATGAATGTCACGTTGTATTTTTTCCTCCACATTGCCCTGCCTGAATCCTCCAAATTCACCCTGATTGATTTGAAGTAAGAGAATGTGTGGCCGTAGATGAACTATGCATGTGTTAAATGCTCTGCTGTTGCATAAAGCTTTGTAATCTTAGTAGCTCTACAAAGTGTTTTTCACAATTTTGTTTTCACTGATCCATTCAAACACGGCTTCAGAACTTGGGGATGGTACTGGTGAATAACTCACTAATGGATATATAGATATTAATACATATTTTATTCTCTGTAGCTGCATCATGTGGCATGTAACTAAGAATCTTGAGCATGACCATTAATAACAAGGGGAATTTTAATTGTCTGATCCAGAGGTTAAGAGATTTTCTTTGAGCTGCAGTCAAGAATGGCTTCAAAAATTAACAGATTGCAGTCCTCAGCTAATTTAGAAGGAGGTTATTCACAGATTCAGGAGACTGTAATTCCCTTTACTCATGCCAAACGTGATCATTTGCTCAACTTTCTACAGCTTTTAAAGAAAGCTGACATGAGAAATTCTCTGATTTTACAAATAATTTCAAAAGCACAGCATGTGGCTCAGCCACAGATACTGCACATATATTTCTTTCAACTACCAGACTCAGCTGAGTCTGAGCGTGCAGGTCCTTGTGCAAAACATGCTGTGTTTTACAGAGAATCACAAGGTAAAAATCAACCCTTTAAAATCATCTAATTGTATTCAGCTTGATTATCATGTTATTTTTTCAATATACCGTCTTGTACAGATGACGAGGTCAGGGTGGACAGTCCTCTTAGCTTGATCCAGAGCATTTACAAACGCCTGCTTCTCAGCTGTGCTCATCTGCATGATGTTTCTCCTTACTGGGGAGAAGTTAATGGGGTGAAGAGAGAGAATGAAGTGTTGTTAAAGTGTGGTAGAAACGAAGGAAGAGTAGAGAAAAGAAAGTGCTATTAAAAATTAACACTTTTTTCCTGCTCCTAGCAATAAATGCTGCCTTCATTCCCCAGGCTGATGTAGACCTGTGAAATCGTGAAGGACACGGTAGAGGATAGAAATTTTAAGTCGTCGTGAATTTTTAGGTCGTAAAAAAGCATCTGCTCTCTTACCCACAGAGATCCTCTGATCACAGTTTGGTCCAGTTAGCCCGTGTCTGCATCGCCCACAGTTGTAGCCGGTAAAATTCCCATTACACCGGCAAGTGCGATTGAAGAATCTCAGCGGCCACCTCTCTCTGTCATCACGCCCGGCATAAGGGTACTGAGGTCCATGGCGCCGACTGTCAGCCTCAATGGTCACACACTGGCCTCTTCCTGTGCTGGAGCCACACTCGTCTCCTGCTACCCCTGTAGGGGATGGGCAGCACTGGCCGCTCTGCAGCCCCTCAGGAGTGACACACTCCCTCGGGAACTGGGCCAAGGTGAGCGTGGCACACAAGGTCCCCACCAAACCCACACTCCACAAGCTGATAAAGTAGAGAATGAGGTGAAGTAAGGAGTTTTTTAGGGCCATGCAGTAATTTAGATGTGAGAACAAGGTTAGAACAAAGTGTGTGGAAATCTTTTACATGTTGAGAATTGCTGTTCTACAGGCCTCCTTCTTTTTTTAAAGGACTTGTCTTGTTCACGGTTGTGAAGGACCAGTGACCGTCCCAGAACACATTTAGCAAGATGAAGATAAAAAAAAAACATCCCCACATACACGACACATCCACTGAAATTAAGCTCCCGAACAACTTACTCAGTATGTGTTCTCTTGCTAAAGCCAATTGTCTTAACATTATTCCAAAACTTCAGTTCTTACACATCCCTGCAGGCAGCACAAGTCATTATTTATAATTCACAAAGCCATTAGCTTTCAACTCTTACAAGTTCAGAAATGCTTTCAACAATAGACAGCAGGCAATGATTTGCTTGAACCTTTTTTCTTTTTTCTTCCTTTTTTTTGCAGTTAGATTTGCTTGCCTTTTGTGCCTTTTGAAGTTTGTTGATTAGAAATGAATGAAGGAGTGGCTAATAATTTGCAATTATTATGAGCAATTATTTAACAACAAAACAACACCTAAGAAATGTTACCAATATAAAAGGGGAAATGCTCCACATGTTTGAGCATATTACAAATATTCGAATGCACGACTTAACGAGTCGGTGCATCACCTGCTGGGTTCTGTGGAACTCTGCTCTGTAACATCATACGAGACAAAACTTCACTTCATATGCAAAGATGTAGCGCATTAGTCCAATAAACACTTTTAATTTGTAAAGCCGCTAAAGCAGTCAGTCATACCTCCGAGTTGTATGACTTTTTGGATTCTACAGTTCATTTTGTGAAAAAGGAATCAGTATCATTTGTTCCCCTACCTCTGACTGTACATGCTGCTCCTCTGTTTGCACAACTGAAGTGCCCCCCAAGAATCAGCCCGTTGCCCTTCTCTGTCTTAAATAGCTATTGAGCACATGAGCAGGCCTTTGTGGAGCTTGTGCAAGGAGAAACACACACACACACACACACACACACACACACACACACACACCATACACACGTATACACTTGAGGGTACTTGAGTTTTTTCAAAAACTCATTCATGAACCTTGTGATCATGGACCAAATGACGCCAGACTGTGGATACTCAAACAACTATTTGATGACATTCATGCTGAAGTCTTACAAGAGAAAATTTCTGGGGTTTTAGCCAAGTTCTACATTTATGTAAATCATGGACGTAAGTAGAAGTTAGTTCCATAATTTTGCTTTGTTTTTGTTTGTTTTCGTTTTGTTTCTGTACACTCCAAAAGACGATTTTCAAATTAAGCAATCAAGACGTGATTGAAGTACAGACTGTCAGCTTTAATTCCAGCAGTTTTACAGTATTTTTACACTAGCACTTTAGGAGATGCAGCCAATTTTATGCACGGTCCCTCGTTTTCAAAGGCTTAAAAATAATTGGACAATTGACTGACAAGCGGTTTCATGGTGACACGAGGCCTGGTCCCTTGTTGTTATTTCATAATAAATGAAGCAAACATAATATCTGAAGTTGATTCAAAGTCCTAAGTTTGTATTTTTGTCACTTTTCTCTGTATTCTCAGAATTATTTCAACTGCTAAGAAAAACAACTTTAAAAAATCTAACCAAGATGACACTCTCAAAATATTAGCGATATCATTGTTAACGTCTACAAACATGAAACACAGAGGGTTTACAACAAGGTGCAAACCACCGGTTACACTCAAGAACATGAAGGTCAGATGAGTGTTTTTTAGAAATCCTCTGAAAGAGCCTGCACAGTTCTGAGAAAAAACAGGTCAGATGATAAACTTGCAGAAGAATGACGGGAAGAGAAAAATATGATAGGGGCATGGTTGTGGTGTGTGGTGGCCAGTGGAACCCGGCACTGGAGTTTATGGATCTAGTTGCTTCTTTGGACACTTAATTTTGTTCTACTCAAAGCAAAACTTATGATACACAAGTCAAGACTTGCGCAGAATAAAAATCAAATCCATTTTTAAAAAATCGTTTTACATTTTAAAGACTTTTCAGATGAGGCACTTCATGTTGCAGCCAGTATTCTCAGACTTCAGACTTGCTGATAAAATGGGATGATTGCTCGTGGCAGTTCAGCAGCTTTGTACAGCATGAGCGATGTGGCCACTTTGAAAACCGTTGCTCAACAATTCCAGTGCAGCCTAAAGTGTTTATAGACATCAAACCACTAGACAGCAGTAGATACATAAAAGGTTTATCACATTTGCACACTTGCACATGTACACAGTGTTTTCAAACACACGTTTCTCTGTTCACTCAGTCACACAGTCATATATGCCAAAATCCAAAATTGTTAGGCTTTTTTTTTTTTAAATTTACACATGCAAAAACACAAATCATACGCAAGTCATACGCACTAAGTGTAAGATGATTATACAGTAGTTAATACGCTTGGGAATGTGAGACAGTCACTACTGGGTTTGGTTAGGGTGTGAAATGTTTAGGTAATTCACTGGCTGTGTGCTCATTGAGCTTAATTTAGATATAGCATGAATGAGAAAACAGTTGGACCCCCTAGAGAAAGGAAGTCCTGAGGTCTTGTGAGGAATTTGGTCCTGATCCAATATTGGCCCACTCATCTGTAGAGCTGGGCAGGAGGTCTGACATAGCTATTGCATGCTCATCTCCTTGCTGGTCATTTATTTTGGCCAGGGTTGAAGCCATATTAGCTGGGTCAACTGCAGCCATCCTGGTGGAAAGGACAAAAGAGCAGTTGGCAGTGATTAGACCAGTTGAAACGGGAAAAAAGGAGAAAATATACAGCCGTCTGATGACAGGAACAACTCACATTGTTGTACAATGGTATAATATTAGGTTAGTGCTAGCAGGAAAATGGGATAAATTTCACAAAAATGAGAAAATCTATTTTGCTTCACGCAAAAACAAAGACAGGCACCTTTCAAGCGATGAAATTGAAACACACTTTCAAATGGCTTGTTCGTAATGGTTGTCAAACTGCTGTTAAGTATGCCGCTCTAAGCGAATGCTAATATTCTCACTGGAAGGTCTGTTTATTTAATGATTTCCACACCAGATGGAGAAGCTTACAAACTGTGCTGAAATGAGATACCTGGGAGCTAATGACACACCTAGATACAAACAGATCACTTGACATTATTGAATAATTGCAGGGGATACCGTCCTGACTGAAATTTTTAATATGTCCTAGTAGACTACCCCTCAAGGGCAACAATGCGGCCGTCCTAAGAGCACTTCCATTATGTTGCCTGGGTGCTGAATATTTGCACGTTACCCAGAATGCCTGATGAGTTTAATGTTCACACAGCTGCTTTGGGTTTTGTGTTGGGCTAAAGGGGATGGAGGTGGGAGCTGGATTTGGGTTACAGTTTAAAGCTCACTGAAAAATAATCTTAGAGCACTGTGGAGGTTTTTTTGTTGTTGTTTTTTTGTCGAGCTGTTTGCTTGAAGTTCCAAGGATAATGAAGTACGATATTTTTTCTGCGGCTATGATTTCAGCCAAGCACCCACTGAATTGTGCATCAAAGACAGATGCCGTCCTTCCAAGTGAAACCTCATGGACGCCAAGTTCAATGCAATACCAAAGAGTTTGTAAATCCCAGCATCTTTTGTTCAGGTGCAGTTGTTTACAGCCAGCTTGACTCTTGAAATACCTTTTTTGGGGGAAACATTTATTGCTAAAGAAGAGTTTAAAAACCAAAAAAGTAGTTAAAAAGCAAATTTTGTTTTCTATTAACAGGAATTTTGGTTCTTTTGATGACAACTGGATTGCCACTGCTGCTGCAAAGACTCTTAACAAGGACACATTTCAAAATTACTGTGTCGACTGTTTAATAATTCAGTGTTGCTTTGCTATTGTCTGTGCAAGGCAGGCATCACATTTCTACTTGTGTCTTATACACATTCACTCGCTGAAGCAACACACAAATACACAGACTCTCAATCTCTAAATCTCTGAATTTTTAGTATTTTTTGTTTACAGTTGATTGTCACCACATGCATATTTTTCACATGGTCTCTCACTGCAAGCACACAACTGTAGCTTAATTACTGATCCAAGCCCACCGGTCTGATTAGCAAAAGCAGTGGTATTAGCCAGTAATGCTCTTGGTTCACGGGACTCACATTCTCATGTGACATTTTGAGCAGAATCCCGGGGCTATTACACTATAAAAGCGCCAAGAGGGAATCAGCTGAGAAGCACACAACAGGTGGCTACTGACCTCCTACGCAGGTCAGTACATGATATTTAGGCAGGTCACAATGGAAAAGTAAGTAAGTGTAGCTGAGGAAAGAAATCAGTGAAATCTTGTATCTTGTAATCTGTGATGAAGCCTAGCGAAGGCTGCCAATAAAATTTAAGCTTTGTTGCATTAGATTATTTTTGAAGTTTAAAGTTAAGATTCCATTTTAATTCAACACCTGTGAAGGTTGTTTGCACCTTCTGCTTGCTTGTCAGTCCTAAAATAGTTTAAGAGATGTCACTTTGTATAAATGCACAGCTCAAAAAAGTTAAGGGATCACTTAATGCATGCCATGCCCATGGAGTCTGGTCAGTAGCCCACTGGAGATCATTTTGTAGGGCTCTCTTTCTCAGTTCTGAGACTGTACAGGGAGCCACAGTAAACCTTCTTATGGTGGAAAGCATGGATGTGTCCTGAATTGACTGCTGGTACTGTCTCATGTTACTAGCAGTAACAAGGACACTAACAAATAGAAAAACTAGGAAAAAGGGAGGAGGGAGGGATAAGAAAACCATTCTGTTTTTAGGGAGTCTTGTTATTGCCTCTGCAGTACGCCTGTTGTCATTTTCATTTGCACCAAAGCAAGTGAATTGGATTCACAATGGTTTATGATTTGTAACAAGACAGATTGATGTCCCTGAAGTTTAACTGGCTCTGTGTTATACTGTGAAAATGAAGCAGTACCTTAATTTTCTTTTGAGCAGTGTAAGAAAAAGTAAAAAGGTTGGCAAGAGAGAGAAAAAGGCCAGGCTTAAAGAAGAATGTGAACACTGTATATTAAATGTTTTGAATGTGACTTTGCAGTCAGCAGATCTCAAGTCAAATAAACACCTGTGGAAGATTGTGTGTTAGGTTGTGTTAGATTGCAAAATGACACAATTCTGGCAGCATTTTATGAATCTTAATGTTGTCCCTTTCCTTTATTTTTGCAGATACTCTCATGTGTGCTGTACGCATCTATAACACTGCAAGAAACACTGGTGAGAACATACTGTTGAGGGTCACCATTGCCCGCAGGCAGTGTATCATCACTGTAGTCATCTCCTGTAGTTGCCTCTGGCTCAACACACTCTTCCTCACATGCACGCTGTCGGGGCAGGCTGCTGCTCGCACACAAACACATAAACAATATCCCTTTATCACTATTATTGCTCTTCTTGCTTACTCTTGACCTTCTACAAATTAACTGCACGTTGCAATGAGTCATGTAGAGAAATAAAAAAGTAGCCAAGTATATAACTGAAGCAAGACCATTCTCTTTTGTGAACAGAGGAGGAAATTCTGACCCAACACTCGATACGTGGTCTGATTTCATCATGTATCAGTGTTGAAATGTTACCTTGAGCTCAGGCAACATCTAAAGCAATCATGTGCCAGTTCTGCTCCGAGTCCCATCTGTGATTGTAGCACTTTTGTTGTTACAGGTAGCAATCAAATGGTTTGTTTCGGATATCAGAGAAAAAGAAGTGGATGGTGGCTGACACTGGTGCAAATGCAACAAATGTTAGTTGCATTCACGTTCACAAAAGTAATTAAAAAAGGAGGGGAGTCTGCTTTACAAATACAGAGTCAGACAGATATTCATGCAATGGTATTGTACAAATTTGTGTTGTAAAAGAAATGTGCTTTAAAATGAGGCTGTTTGATGTGTAGTCTAACCTAATCAAAGCATAATAATGGAAGGCAGGCTTTAAAGGAATACTGCTGGCCAGAGATTAACAAGCAAAGCATTTTTGCTAACAAGCAAAGATTAGAGCTGTAATTTGAGGAACTCAGGGCCTATAAAAGAACTGTTTTGAATCAATGTTCCTGTAGATCAAGTGGTGCAACTTACTTGTTTTTGTGACGACGTTTGACGATATAGATAATGATGACGGCGGTCTGCAAAACCAGGAAAACTGCAGCAGTAGCAGCTCCGATTTTCCATGGTTCCAAGCCTAATTCAGTTGATTCTAAACAGATACAATAAGGCAGAGAGAGAGATAAATTGCAGGGCAGAGCAGGTGGAAGCATTAGATTTAATACAAAGTTTGACATACTTGTGGCTGATGGGCAGCCACAAGTATGTCAAAGTGTCCAGCAAATGTACAAACAGGAAGCTCTTATATGAATATGTGCAGTCTAATTATACATGATGTTTTTTCATAGAAGAAAAGACCTTTTGTTTTTTGCTACCGCTACGTCATTTTAAACAATCTGCCAGTAAAATTTTGCCAGCCCAAACTGGCATGTGTCTAATGGCACTGGCTCCTACAAAAAATATGAAGCAAATACAAGAGGCAGAAAACAGCATGTTGTAGCCTGTGTGACAGGAGGGTCCAAACTTTCTGGTCTTCCCCCACCAGTTAGGGTATAGTTAGCCTGCACAATTGCTCAGTGGAATGGAAAAACATCAAGCTGGCCATCTGCATATTTTGCTGGCAGAATCATGATAATGATCTGTTTTCTTCTTCTTTATTCTGCCCAAGTTTTTAATGTGGAAAAAAAAATATCTCCTGTTGAATATTTCCCAAACTATTTATAGCCTAGGATGTGTTTCTAAAAGTGTTTGAGAACTACAGCAAATCTAATATATCAAAGACCACATTGCAATCAACAATCAATCTACCATGCATGTCTTTGGGCTATGTAAAATACATAGTTATCTATACTGTAAGTTTAGCTTTTACCTGGATCTTTAACGAGCTCATTGGTTTCCCCCAATGCCTCTCCTTCAGTCCTGGGGTGTTCGGCTAGATCATCATTCATAAAATTATCCAGTGTAGAATGGGCATCAGCTGGGTCATACAGGAAAAGGTCATTGGTCGGGGTGATGATCTCATTGCTGTTAAATTTCTCATCATCTAGGTTTCTTTCTTCAGTCTCCACATCAATGAGGAATAAATCCACAGTGGAAGCCTGGTTCTCAGAGCTCTGCAACATGGTGGTTTCAGCACCACCATCAGGTTCTGGGCCAGAGATCCCCACCACATCTAGAAGTGAGGTTTGGTATGTGACACACACATGAAAATGAAGAGTAGAGGCCTAGACTAAGGTTTTGTCAAGTGGAGCAGTGGAATGTAGAATAAAGTACAGATGTGCTGTAGCTAAAAGACCCTGGTGGGTCGTGATTTGTATGCATTTGTGCATTTGTAGCAGAAAGTGTCTTTTCTTTTTTGCATAGGTCTCAATGACAAATGACCATACAGGAATGGAGGATTAAACTGATAAAGGATTCATGTTTGTATCAATGTACTCAGAGTAGAAATGTCAGATTTTTCTGAGCAAACAGAACAGGACTAGCCAGTGTTAAATATTCTTATTTACATTATAGGGGTTTTCAGACATAGTCTAGTAACCAGCCTTTTTTCTTGCACAAAAAGCTGTTATAGTCCTAATTTAAGGTCTTTAAGTATGTTATGATACACACAATGCAATGCTCAACCAAATCTGCTGAGTCTTATGCAAATGCAATTTTAAAGACCATTGCAGTTTTAAGTTTTTGTGACCCAAATTATGAGCTGGTTCTAGATATTCTGCATTTCATCTGAAATGCAGAATATCTAGAACCAGCTCATAATTTGGGTCACAAAAACTTAAAACTGCAATGGTCTTTAAAATCTCTGTTAAATATCTATTTAACAGAGACA